TTCGATAGCGAAGGCAATGTGGTGAACAAGCCGGACAGCCACGGGGGCAGCCTGGAGTGGACCAAGATCTGCGAGAAGTCCACCAAGGTCATTACCTTCATTGACTTGGCTGGCCATGAGAAATACCTCAAGACGACGGTGTTTGGCATGACCGGCCACTTACCGGACTTCTGCATGCTCATGGTGAGTGAGGAGCTCCTGAGGTGCTGGGCCACCAGGGGGTGGGGTCCTTCCATGTCCGTGTTTGACATTGGGCCAAGATGAGGCCTCTTGGCTGGCGGTGGTGACGTTGGGGCAAGAGGACAAGTTTTGTGCGAGTGGCCAGTCCTCTGGGCCCGCGGTCTGTTACAAAGACGGACCTGGAGCTCTCCTGTAGGCGAGGCTGGGCAGGAAACCCGTGAGTCGTCACTGACCACAGTGTTATGTGCATGCCCCTCTCCTGAGGCTGACTCATGGCCTGCAGGACTGTTCACCCCGCGGTGGGGTGGGCTGCTGCGGCACTCTCAGAGAAGAGACGGGAGGCTGGGCAGGCAGGGGGGACAGTGCCTTCAAGGACATGAGCAGTGTTTGCGGGGACCAGCGAGGGGGGGTGTCTGCCTGTGCACAGGTCCTGCTGACAGGCCTGGGGGCCCTGGCCCAGCGGTGGACAAGGCTGTCCTCGGGTGCCTGGAGCTGACAGGCTGTCAGTGAGTCTGTCTCTGAAGCCGCTCGTTATGCAGACAGGCAGAGGGGCCGGAGGGCTTCTGCACTGGCCCGTGTTTCAGGCTTGCCTCGTATCTTGCATCTCTTCCTCTCGGCACAGACTCTAGGAGTCCCTTGGGTCCCCAACCTGGCACATGGCTTCCACAGAAAGAGCAAGCCAACGCTTTGCTTTGGCAAGTCCTGGCCCCATTCCTCCAGCTGCGTGCGTCAATGGGCGTCGTAAGCACACTCGAGCGAGTTGCTCCACAGACACAGCTTCTCGGCGCACTCTCCCCATGTGCGGGAGAGAAGAGCGAGGCAGAGGAGCATCTGTGTGGATGCGCTCGTCGGCGCGCTGCCTGGGGTTCTCGGGACCTCGGCCAAACCTCATCTCTCATCTCCTTGAGCCTTGCCAAGGGGTCCTCATGGAAACTCCTGGGGGACACTGGGGGGAGTTGTTGGGTTTTAAAATAAGTGTTTTTCTACTCGAACTACAG